GCTTGGAAACGTGGCCATGAGAGCAGTGTTCTGGTGGAATCCATGAACGTCAAGATAAGATGAAAGTCCAGATCAGACTTCAGATCAGACTTTGGACTTAAACCAGAGATGGCCAGTAATGAACTTCACTGACATGAAATGGGAGAAAACAACACAATTGCGTCATGATACCAATGTTGCTTCCAGCGAGACCTTGAGAAAGCTGTCAGCTCCAGTCAATTTAAGAACCACACACAGCCAAAAAATACCAGAATCAGCTAATGGTCCAGACTTAAGAGGATCTTACTGCCCTCTACAACTGCCTGACAGGAGGCTGTAGCGAGGTGGGGGTCGGCCTCTTCTCCCTGGTAACAAGTGATAAGACGAGGGGAAATGGCCTGAAGTTGCGCCATGGCAGGTTTAGGTTAGACATTAGGAAAAATTTCTTCACAGAAGGGGTTGTCAGGCTCTGGAATGGGCCGCCCAGGGAAGTGGTCGAGTGTCCATCCCTGGAGGTATTTAAAAGACGGGCAGATGAGGTGCTTAGGGACATGGTTTAGTGGTGGGATGGCAGTTTTAGATTAATGGTTGGACTTGATGATCTTAAAGGTCTTTTCCAACCTAAACGATTCTATGATTCTATGACAGGTGGTTGTTACACAGCTAGAAACACCTTTTTTTTTTCTGCTAAACATCTTCTGCTTTGTAGTTAAGATACTGTTATCAAAGGTTTTCCTTGTAAACAAGAAGCTTTTCTGTCAGAAACGCTCCACTGTGGGGTTGACCCAGCCAGCTGCCAGGCCATCCAGGTGCAGTAGCCGACCCTGCTTTCAGATGCTACAGCCAGCAGCGTCCGGGGGAAGTTATGCAGGCCGCCCCAGCACGCCTGAAGAGCCAAAACGCTCCTTGTCAATAGCAGTTCCTTAAGATAAACCTGGCTTTAGAAGGAGCTTGGGATTTACGGGAAGGGATGAAAATAACCTTTACAAAACAAAACAAACAAACAAAAGTGAAAAAGAAACACATGCAGCAGGAGTTCGTGTTTGTTCTGAAGCAAATGTGCTCACAGAGATTTTTCTGCCAGGGCTAATGAACAGAGCAGTAGCAAGCCCCTTCAAACCCAGGGCATTATTTTCTCTAGCTCTAAAAGACAGTTCCCTCTGTATCAATCTTGCTCTTGCTTGCACCGCGGTTATACCTCTCTTTGAAGGCGACAGATGCAATGAAGAACGCTCCAAAACATTTCAGTTACAACCCCTGCTAATAAGCCTGTGTCTGGGGCCTTCTACAGTTAGGGCACCGAGCCTAACCCAGATTTTTCCCATAAACACTTGTGGCAAAATACTGTGGTTTTATTCAAGACTGCAAGACCGTGCACATTCACCTGGACTAACAGGTTCCAGGTTGGTGATGCTCTTTCTAGCAGAAGGAGAGGCTACGCTGTTGACTTTTACTCAGACAACTCACACGCTACCTACAGGAATTGTCATCCCACCTCTGAGGGCTACATAGGCCAACCTGATGATCTCCAGTTCTACAATTTTCACATGCTGCAGAGATTAAAAGATCTTGGTTTTAAGAGGGAGCACTGTAGCCCAGCCCCAACAGATCCGCTGACGGTCACGGTGGCCGAGGGTGCCGAGATGAGAACACGGTTTCCTCAGTTGCACAGACTCCTGTTACCAAGCCAAAAGGCTTCGAGTGGAAGGATGACCAAACTGTTGACGTGAAATTTGAGTGGGGAATATGCTGGTTTTAGCTCAGGCAAAGTCTGGCAAAAGACAACATGTGCACACACAAATTAGTTCCATGCATCTGTGTATGAGCACATATGTACATGTACATATGAACAGTGGTCAACTGCTCTCCTGTTCCTCGTTAGGAAAGCCCGTGCCAAGTGAGTTGAATGTGTACAATCTCTTGCGCTCTTACCAGCACAGAACGTTTTTTTATTTCCTGTACTTGTAAAAAAACAGAAGACGTAAGGAAAGGATTTCGGTTAGGGCTATCTTGCTCACATTTTGGAACCAACTCCTCGTCATGTGTGTATGCAGGTGCTCCAAGGCAGTCATTTCCTGCTAGATAAAAGCATTCTGGTTTGATGTCTATCATTTGGGATGTTTTTAAGCAGCAGTGTAAATATGCAGTATGAAGATGTGATCAAGTAAAAAGCATTTAAATTAAGTGATACTTATTTAACCCCAGGATTTTTTAGTCACGTGCATACACACACATGTAAACAAATAAAGATCAAAAGCTGTTGTGCCTGAATGAGGATTAGCTAATGAAACAGTCAGGACACGAAAAGTTTCACTTTGCTCTCGCAGGAAGTAAAAAGAAACAGAACAGCTACCAACTGCATCAAAAAGGAGAATGAGGAAAGCACATCTTGGTGGAGCCTAGGGGTGAAAATACCAGAATTGCCAAGTAATTACGTTCTTAAATGCCAGCGTGGCATATGCCAAATATTACTAAAAAAATACAGGCATCTAAATCTGTATTCCTAACTCCACGATCATAATTTTCTCTCGGATATGAGAATGCATAAGTGAAAGACTACAGGAAGAAACAAATCTACACTTGTATTGCAAGAGTGGTGTAACAGAGCAGTTACAGCTGTGGCCAGTATTTCCCAATTTTCCTTTCCACTATTGACAAAAACACTACTTTGATCCTCCCAAGCCTGTCTGAACTATGTTGGCGAATTTAAAGTAAAAACCGAAACACCTCCCCCGCCCCCTACCCTCCCCAACCCCACACAGGAACTCTGCTCCCTTTGCTAAATCAACATCCATCTTTACCAGCCTAAAACAATCATAAAAACATGAACTGAACATGTTGGGAGATCCTGTTTCTCTGCCTGAGGCAACCGCATGCCTTATGCCTGTATTAAAAAAGAGTTGGCCTGTTTTATTATGCCCACACAGACTGGTATTTGCATTACCGAGGTCTGTTTGTTTTTCTCTAAAAGTTTGTGTGGAATAAGCTCAGCCAGAATACCTAGCCAAGAAGTAACAAAGACATTTAAAAGCATTTTGACTACAATTTACTTTGTATTTTCTTCCCTGTTCTTTGTAGAAAGCTAACATACCATACAAGCACGCGTTTAATGCCATCCTTCCCCCAGTCCTCATATTCACTGATTAATTCGGGAACTCTTAAGACTCGTCAACAGAGATTTAAATGCTCTGAGCCACTTGGCTTATAGTAATTTGTGAAGCATCATGCCCCAAAAGCGAGACTCATGGAAACGGCAACAAATGATGAAATGGTTTTATTGTGCAAAGATTTCAAAATGCTGGAAACCCTTTTGTATTTCCCTTCGCTTTTTCCTCCCCTAGCTGGGAATAAGGAAACAGCCCAGTTATTCTATAGCTGGTTCCCACCACCGTTAACGTTCTGGTTCCCACTGAGCTGTGCGTTCAAGCAAAAACAGGAACAAACATTAACAGCTCCATTCCCATCCATCTACTAGACAGGAACTCACAGATGCTTCATTATATACCTCCCACTGGCACTGATGAGGCAGAAGATTTGTATAGAAAGGAGGGGGAGACTCAGACAAAACACAAGAGTCACTGTAATTGTTCTCAGTCGTAATTCTATTAGCTAATGTTAGCCAAAACATCATGCTACGTTAACCTTTTCCTCACTGTTAAAAAATACAGGCATTGTCGACAGCATCTCGAGAACCTTCCACGGATTGCGCAAGTGTCAGTACATGAGTTTAAAGGAGGTAAGAGGAGGGGAAAAAACCAGGACCATTTTGTGCAACTGGAATTTTATTTTATATATAAATAATAACAAGAGACTGAGGAATTTTGAGATTTGCTACTTGCAATGCTGATCCTGCAATGGGACAAGCATGGGCAGACTTGAGTCCCACTGCAGAATTGAGGACGAGGTCTCAAGACTGACCCAAAATACGTAGTGTCCTTTCACAGATTCCATACCAGAAGCCCAAGCAGCACACCATCAGTCTTTCCTGAGGCAGAAGGCAGATTAGTCACATTCAAATCAAAATGGATTCAGACGGGTTTCCTCTTTTTCTTGGGAAATTGTTGCTCATATCTCTGTACTTTATCACCTATAACCAAGGAGAAGGGACAGAGGATACGGGGGAGAGGGAGGGAGAAAGCAGAATTAAGTATCACAGGCTTTTTCTTTCTGTTGTCAAAGTGCAATTAAAACTGTTCCTCAAATAGATTTTGATCAACTTGCCATCAAAGAAAATTCTCAATACCAATTTACTTCTAGTAAAGAGATTTAACACTTCATATTACTGACATTAGAGCGCCAAGGATTACCTCTGCTCTAGAGAACTCAATTCCTATAGTTGAACTGTATGGAAATATAAAAGAGAAAGAATGCTTTACAGCAACAAAACACCAACTGGAATCTTGTGTACTAAACCAACTTTCTCAAACAGAATTATTTTTAATTTCCATCAATTGCATTTTTTCCTAATCTCACTTACTCTGGTGTAAAGCTCTTGAAGAAATGGAATTACATAAATATAGGACCTGAACAGGGTGAAAATGAGATATGCTATCTTCACGGAAAAACACAAAGCCATGTCACTTCCATGCAACTCTTCAGCACAATAGCCGGATAAAATTAAAGCTTGCTTCTCCCACGATGGGATGTGGTTTGAGCTGTAGTTTGCATATAATTATTGATGACAAATGTACTATAATAAAGGAGGTGCAATGCTGCTGGGTTTTGGCATGGAGAAATCTGTCTCCAACGCAAAGTGCTTTTGTCCTTGGCTGACCATTCAGAATTCAGAGACCCGTGCTGTGGCAAATCTTTATGAGGAAAATGAAATAGCATTTATTTTAGTAACCAGATTCAACTAGGAATATTGCCAACAGTTGAAAATACAGTGAGACTTTCAGAACTGATCTCACTCAGGATAAACAAGTATGTCTTTTCAAAGATCGCAGCAGCGTTCTCCAACCTCTGGGATCACCCAAATCCAACAAAACATCTGGGCTTGGGTATGGAGCTAAATAACTGGATTTGATTTCAAGCAGAAGTAGCAAGTCACCACCCCCGCAGAACAGCTGAAAATTGATACGGAACTGAACTTTCACCATCTGGTTGCTCTAGGTCAAAAAACTAGCAGTTCCATTTATGTATCTCCTCCAGAAACATGTGGCAAAACAAACAGATTTCAAAACCAGCAGCACCCAGGTACTTCAAGCACCTGAGCAATTATCTTAACTCTGTAAAAAGAAAGACAGTAGAGCACCTAAGACACCAGCTGTTAGTGAGCTTTTCCTCAAAACTTACTTACATAGGATGAGTATATTTAGGATTAAAATCCTGAGGACAAAGGGTCTGGATGCCAACTTTAGCGTAAGTCTTCCTGACAGCTTTGTTCCTTTCCTTCCACCCACCACCCCTTAAAAAGAAAATGTGCCTTCAGCAAAAAGCACTAGCATTTCAAAAAGTGAGTAACGACCTACCAGAACTGATATTCACATAGTAAGAAATGCTGAAAGAAAATAAAAGCTATTTATGGGTTTCTGTTTGTAATGAACCTTGATGTTTGCATGGTGTCCCACATACATACACACAAAAGTTCAATTTTCCTGGCTTTTTAACATTTAGTAGTTCTGTCATAGTTCACAATAAGCACATTTTAGTGAATTTTAGAGAAGCTTTTCTTCCTCTTGGTTCTCCTGGGTATCTTTACTCAAAACAAAACTGTTCTTCCTGTTTCTTTTTTAATTTTTATTTTACATGGCTATTTTTATAAAGTACTTGGAAAACACATATTCTTAAAGACTTTATATTCATATGGTCAAAGGAGAAACTAATGCATTCTGTAAATCAGCCAGCCAACATACCTTTTTGCCCTTGTGAGAATTAGTTACAGCAATTAAAAACACACTGAGGGAAATACAACATTAGAAACTAGATTTGCTTTTAAAGCTGATCCTGTAACAGTGGAATGCTGTTGCTCAAGCAGATGCACGTGTTCCATCACATCTGCAAACATCTATGACTGGTGATGATGCATGGAAGAAAAAATTGGTGCAGTTTTCTAAATCTGGACTCTATTTACACAGTTGGCAGTTAGGAAAAGAACAATTTTACTGGTAAAGGGAACACTGCACACAAAAATAATGAGGAGTCCCTACAATGCCAGGATTACTTCCTGATGAAAAATAAAGTCTTTACCATAATGTGAAAATAATATAGGGCAAAGAAAAGCAACTAGAAAACATGTTTGGATACGACATCCTTTATCAACAGAGAGCAGAGTAGACATCTGATTCTGTACTAAATTATGTCCAATTACTTTATCATTAGTAACAATAGGCCTCAAATACAGAGCAATTTTTGTCCTATGAAATTGAACCACCTTAAAAAAAGCTGAGAAGGTGGGTTTGTTTTGCTTTTCTAGAAACTGTAACAATCACAGGACTTAGTGAGTTTAGAAAGCAGCCCAGTGGCCAAGTCAGAAACAGAAGTATTGTCTCAGCTTGAGTTTCTGGCTTGGAGAACTGGGAAACGCTGCCTGCATTTCCTCCATCATTCATTCCCAACTGATGCTCGTTAGGGAGGTGCATCAACATGAAAGGTCAGGCACATCGTGGACTGTTACAGGCTGTAAGATAACGTTGTACCCTGGCATTGACAAATCTTTAGAGAAAACATTATCAGTAGGAAAGAGGTTCTTTTCCTTCCTTCATACCTGCACAGGTATGAGAAAGAAGGCAAAGAGGTTTTTAGCACAAGGGGCAGAAATGGGAAGGGAAGAAGGATTAAAAAAAAAAAAAACAAACCCCAATACAAGGGCCTTGCTAAATTAACTCAGAACCCTTGGAGGAGACAGACATTTACTTGTTATGTTCTGAGGATAAAGAATTTACATGACTTAAGTTACACAGTGTTAAGGAGCACGCATATTCTTGAGAGATGTTAAAATGAATCAAATTATTACCTCTCTTCCCCTCTTTCTTCATCAGTATGAAGAAGATAACTACAAGTCAAACTTGCAAATGTTCAGCTTTTCCAAGTTATTTTGCTGCTGGAGCCACATACTGTTACCAGTCTTTATCCTTTACCTGTTTGATGCCAAGTGATCGGGTGTTCTACTTCTGGGCTCGCTCTTCATTTGAAGCAGCATGGATTTCCAGGGGCTTGTCACCATCTGCATCACCCTTGAGGAGCGAAAAATATGCACAAAATTTCAGCTGAGACAATCCATGATTAATGTTTTTGCTGGAACAGAAACCCTCTTCAAAAGCTGAAACAAAAACTTCTTGCAAAAATCAAGTGGTTGATGAGACTAACTCAGTATAATATACTCAAATATGATCTTCTCCCAAACGGTTTCTAGATTTTAGTCTTCCTGTAGTTAGCTGAGCAATTAAAGGATTTGAATGAACAAGTAGTTCAACAGAAATGCTTTAATTGACTCATTTTGCCTGCACTAATAACAGAGGATGAATTCCCACAGAGTAGTTGCTATTTTGCATTCTCTGAATTCTGTGTGGATTCATACAATAGGTCTCTTTTAGTACATACCCTTTGAGAGAGTGTTCTCACACTTTCCCCAAAATAAATGATAGAAATCAAAGAACGAAGAGAGGCTTGTTAGAGCGTCCGGTCTATCTATTTGCCAAGTATGCTATAACAAACAGGCATTTGATTGTAGTTTTAAATAGGTATTGGTAAAAATATACTTAAAGGGCCACACACACGGCTAGGGGACTGAAGCATGTGACATACAAGGACAGGCTGAGAGACGTGGATTTGTTCAGTCTGGAGAAGAACAGACAAAGGGGGGAACCTAATTGCTATCCACAGTTCCTTAATGGGCATTTACATACTTGGAAGAGCTTGGCTCTTCTCAGAGGCTCACACCAAAAGGACACAGACACTGCTGAAACACTGGAACAGGTTTTCCAGAGAACTATTCTCCATCCTTGGAAATATTCAGCACTTGACTGCCACCTAATCTAACTTCAAAGTTGTCTCTGCTTTGAACAGGGCATTGGATGAAATGATTGGAGGTCTCACCCAGCCTCAATTATTCTTAAATTCTACACATGAAAATTAAATGGCATTTTCATTTTATTCTAAAAAGATATTTTTACCAATATGACTTAAATGTGATGGAAAATATAACAAAAGAAGACAGAAGAGACTGGAAAACATAACCGTTTCACAGGATGGGTCAAATTTATGTCCCAGCACAAAGTAAATGCTATGAATAAGGCACTGAGTCTATGAGGTCCTGCATGTGCCGCGCTAGACATATAGACTCAATAAATCAAGATTCAATTATGAATATAACTCTTAAATTTCTTATTAAAAATATGCCTAGCAAGACCTTTAAAAGGCAATTCGTTCAAAAATAAAAATTTTGTTTTGATCACAATCCAGGATATTTCTCAGTATAGGAAATCACAGCCACAAACCACACCCATTTCAAAATAATGATCTACTCCGTAATTTTCCTGTACAGGAACTTGTAAGTTACGACATTTTACTACAATTTATAATGAAGAATCTGACTCACGATGCCTCATCTCAGGGATTACTCAATCCTGAAGAAATGAACTAAAAATAAGTTGTTCACAGAGAGTTCTACGTTTTTCCACTTGCCTGTTTTAACTTGTAAAAAGCAAATACCATCTAGGTAAGCTTTTTTTTTTTTGTTTGTCCTGAAAGCGGAAAAAAATCCAAAGCAACAGACACACAAACATACAGGAAAATAGGGGTCTTGCTCAATTCCTTTGTTTCTATGAGATCATTAGATCTCATCACAGGGCTTGTCTTCACTATATCCGTTAAGCCCAAATTGCTTAGTTCAAGCCAGTCCACTGCTAAACTGTCATTCCTCACCCAAACTCATTTGCTGAATTAGCAACTAAGAAGTTCTTTTAACTCCATCCACTGTATGTGCCCACTAGGTAAATAGTGAGCCTGAGTGAGACTGATCAAGCAGTAATACGGGTAGCCAGAAAAGGACATCCTTTGAGCTAGCACAGGGTATAAACACACCTGATTTTACAACAAAGCGTCAAGGTCCTCTAGTCATACTCAAAACCAGAAGCAAAAAATGTGTTTAGATCAATGACCCAGAAGACAGGCTGCCTCAGTGCCATGACACCCTCTCATAATTAGAAGCAGGCACATATTCAAGATGGTCTTTCTACTTTCTGGCTCAACACAACCAGTCCGTAATATATCTGGGTGGCCAGAGGAGTTCAGGCAACAGAGCTCCATCCCACAGCAGAAGGGGAAATATTTTGAAGCATTCTTATGCATCTGACAGTTTCAACTGAAAGCTGACTGATAAGAAATCTCTATAACATGTTCATTAGTAAAGTGTTCAATACATTGGGATTCCATGGGATTAAAATAAAAAATAAAAAAAATCATTATTTGAAATTGAAAATAATATTAAAACTAAAGAGACTGTACACAATGCTTTCTGTAAGGTTTCAGTATGAGTGATTAAAAGACACTCCAATTTAGCTCACTGCATCTAAAAGAGATACATGGAGACTTCAATTTGAAATGACAAATTTAAAAAAGCACAATGATTTCTGTGAAAATTTTCCTTCTGTACAGAGAAAAATGCCCAAAAGCAACCTAACTTAATGCGAAAAAACCAAATGTGTGGTGGCTTTTTTCTCACATTACAGCCTAGTCTGATGCAGAAATTAGGTTCTGTTGCCCCGTCTGAGAAAGTCTTGCAGATGGCCAGGCCCTTTTACAATTTCTAAGGTTAGCTGCCAGTGTAACTCCAAAGGTAGGTATACATCTCTCTTATGCTTATGGAAAACTCTTGAAAGGTAGAGTCTGGCCACCAGAAGAAAACAACAGCTGCAAAAGAAAAAGGCTCATCTGGGCTCACAGATTAATAATTTACCTTTTCTTCTGTCCTCTTTTGTTTGCAATGTATTGCTTAGAATAAAGAGAACGTCGCTGGTTGACCTTATTCATCTTCCCCCAGTCAATCAATAACTTTTTATTTTTAGCTGAGCTTGGACTTAACTCTCAGAAATATGAAGCACTTTTAAAAATATTATTCTTAAGCTGCCTTAAAAAGCTCAAGCTTTTGTGGAATAGATTCTGTCTTTCCTACCTCTCACACATTTAAATTCACCACAGCCCAAACTAAGGATGCAATCCAAAAGAAGTAATAATTTTTACAAGTTTTATTCTGTTGTTGTTCTTACTACCAAACAGTAGGAGAGCATATGACAAGGAATAGTATTTTCTAGCAGTAGTAGATGCTTCATCTTTTAGTTCAGATGACCAAACTTTTCCTTGTCTGTTCAGAAGCTACTGAAGAGAAGTCTTACAAGCATTTACTGTAGAAAGCAACTCTCTCAGTTGCTTATGTTGTGTTTTAAAAGGATGCTCAAAACACAGGTGACTTAAAAACTCTCCTCTTAAAACACAATTTAAGGTTTGCTACAGTCACAATCCATGATGCTTAGGGTAAAGCTCCCCAGTCAACACACTGACATCACAACTTCCACCAGAACTTTCAGGTGGGGCAATCTAGGTCCACTATTCCCTTCATGCTTGTTCTGAGCAAGCACAAGGAAACAAGTACCCAAAGCTGAACAGCCTTTGCACTTGGAAGCACTCTGTCACCAGCTAACAATTAATAAAATACCCAGAGATAGCTATATAGATATAGCTGTATTTTAAATATTTATATATTTTATATGTGTAATAAATATTTATGGGTTAAAAATATGTAATACCTAATGTGTATTAGTATTGGTAAGTCACAGATTGTTTCTGTCAACAGACCAGGCAGGAATGAAAATTTACGATAGGCTTCAAGAGTTTCTTTCAATCTCTGAAGCTGCTTAAACAACCAAATGACAGGAAGAAAAAAAACAAAACAAAAACGTTTTCTGTAAGGTCTCGTTACTGATTCAACCAAAGTGGGAAAGAGCAGGCATATGAAGAACGCAACAAGACCCGAAAAGCAGGGTGGTTTAGAGTTCTAGTGCTGTTCTATTTTTTCACATTTCAGCTACTCCAGTAAAAACAACGGATGCCCAATTAAGTGTTGGAGGAAGAGAAAGAATCCGGAATAGCTGAAAATACAGCAAAAGTCTTTGAGTTGTATAAAGACAAGACAAAGTGAGAACTAAATGAAGAAAACTGTTTTTCTATGTGTTTCAGTATATATTAGCTCACCGGCTGGAACAAAACCTGGGGTTTAGTGACTTGGTGCCATAACACACGCTCTTGTCACTTGAAGATGAAGACATTAAAGTATCAGAGCTGATAACCCTACTGCACAATACAACAGTACTAATTACAGAAGTATCGAAACCAGAGGCAGAAGAGGAAAGGAAAAAGGCTGCATTTCATGAAAATAAGCATGAGCTGACTGACAAACAGGACCTAACTGTTAGAAACTTACAGGTAGTATGTATTGAACTGTGGCTATGAAATACTGATCTTTAAGCAGTTTTCTGTAAAGAAGTTATAATCATGAAATCATAGAATGTTTGGGGTTGGAAGGGACCCCTAGAGGTCATCTAGTCCAACCCCCCTGCAGTGAGCAGGGACACAGCTAACTAGATCAGGCTGCTCAGAGCCCCATCCAACCTGGCCTTGAATGTTTCCAGGGATGGGGCCTCCACCACCCCTCTGGGCAACCCCTTCCAGTGTTTCACCACCCTCATTGTAAAGAATTTCGTCCTTATATCCAGTCTAAACCTAGCCTGTTTTAGTTTAAAGAGAGGTGCTCCAGCCCTCGGATCATTTTTGTGGCCCTCCTCTGGACCTGCTCCAACAGTTCCCTGTCCTTCTTGTGCGGAGGGCTCCAGAGCTGGATGCAGTACTCCAGGTGAGGTCTCACCAGAGCAGAGTAGAGGGGCAGAATCACCTCCCTTGACCTGCTGGCCACGCTTCTCTTGATGCAGCTCAGGGTACGGTTGGCCTTCTGGGCTGCCAGCGCACATTGCCGGCTCATGTCCAGCTTTTCGTCCACCAGCACCTCCAAGTCCCTCTCGGCCGGGCTGCTCTCGATCCTTTCTTCCCCCAGCCTGTATTGATACCGGGGGTTACCCTGACCCAGGTGCAGGACCTTGCACTTGGCCTTGTTGAACCTCATGAGGTTCACACAGGCCCACCTCTCCAGCCTGTGCAGGTCTCTTTGGATGACATCCTGTCC